AAGAAAAAGGACTCTTAAGTTTTCTTCTTCCCTTAGTCGTAACTATTATTATCGACGGGTTGAACGGTAAAATAGTGCAATGCTTGCAAAATTAGTAAGTAAAAATATTCTTCTAATGCAACTTGAGAAGAAATAAACGAAAGTTACGTCGTATGAAGTAATATTAAATACAATATATATTGATATCGTAGATAGAAAAAGTTTTGGAGAAAGGTTTTTTGCCAATACCGTGAGGCATAGTTTTAACGTTTCGTGCTTCGAACTCCCCCGTTTCAATAATCGCAACGAGTTGGCGAATTGAATGCCGAGCAAAACTACATACTGTTACATTTAACGCCATAGCTATGGAAAAGGGAAAGAATAGGACGAAGAAAATGGTGGAAACGAAACCAATGGCGCGAGAGCGCTGCCAGCGTACACGTTGAAACTTCGAATAAAGAGAGCAAGCGAGAGAAAGGGAAAGAAAGAGAGAGAGAGAGAGAGAGAGAGAGAGAGAGAGAAGAAGAGGAAGAGAGAGAGAGAGAGAGAAAGAGCATGCCTCTGGCTCCAGAATACAAATGGGAAGATGGCCATTGTTATAGGGCATCCGACTTGTGATCAAAGTTGCTGCGATTCTAGGCTATCTATGTTACCATGGAAATGGAACGTCTTCGGCCAGTACCATCGACGATGAGCAACCAAGACGCAAGCAACCCTGAATTGGGCTAAGACCGGCTTGGCAAATTCTACAAATGGAATTGTGGGCCGCCTTCGCTTCCGCTCGCGAATACATCGAGAATAGATCGAGAATAGTACGGTGTTGCGACAATGTGTCTGCACCGGACACGAATACGTATCCATGTGTACATATATACATATATGTGTATAGATATATATATATATTATATATGTATGTACTTTATACATATAGACAGATATATAAACTCGTGGATTGTGTGATCGAGGAGAATTACCAAGAACCAACGTCAATATTTGAAGCTGGCTAAAGCTCATACCATTTGCCAAGACATCTTTTCTCATTCGTCGACGTTCACACCATCGAGATAATCTAGCTTCCATTTAATAATACCATTCAAACGTTTCGCGGATATAGTTTAACAAGCCTATAACTGTATCTGCTTATCTATTTTTTTCTTTTATCCGACAGCTATAATCTCGGAACGGTTCTTTCTTATAAAGGACAATGACCGATACTCCGAACGGGTCGTAGAAAACTAATGTACGTGTAATAATTTCGATTGTGTTAATTTATTCAATGGAATATAACCCTAAGAGAAATTCTTTTTTACGATCGATCGATTAATAATTAATCGTACACAATTTTCATTGCCTTTTCTTTTTTTTTTTATTTCTTTTGCAATAATTAAATAATTTCAAACGACGCGTTTCATACGATTCGCAAAGAGAGTAGAAACAAGAAGGTAATAGAGAAGGTGTGAGAAAATGAACGAGAAATTAATACGAATTTGACTAATATAATAACACGTATCTATGAATTTCAACATATTTTCGGGCAAGAGCCGCGATTAATGTACGCCGAGTCAATTCAAATAATTTGCTAATCGTAATATCGGTGCGAGTTAGTAAGCACATAATTTGGACAAATTATCGCAGGAAGGTGGGGAAACTAATGACAAGGTGTGTGGTTAATAACGATGTAACGGAAAATGAGCATGTTCGATGAACATTATCATCAACGAGTTCGTCGACAATGTTTGCACGAATAATTAGCGAGTACCGCACGCGAGTTTGGACAAGCTCGACTAAATCTACGAGAATTCATTTTCACTATCGATACTATTGTCTCTATTGTCAGTTTTTTAAACCTTTTCTCCCGTTTTCTTTCCCCTATCCCCGCCCCGTCCCGACCATCCTTTCTCTTTTATGGAATATAAAAAAGTTCTCCCGGGTTATTTCGAATCGTCAAAAGGTTTCTCTCCTCGTTCGGTCATGATTCTCAAGCTTCTCTTCTACCTCTAACAGAACAAAACTCAAGCTCAACGCTTATTATTCCTTATTCACCTATCGATTAAACTCTCATTCGAATAATGATTGGAACGATCAACTAACGAACCGACCACGAGCACCTAAACATCTCGGATATGAGTAGTAGACATACATATACATACATAAACATACATATATATATACGTATATACATAGGAGTGGGGCAAATAAAAAGCCCAACACGAGCGTGTTCCCTCTTTTTTCTATTCTAACCGGAATATGAAAGAAAGAAAAAGAAAGAAGAACAAATAAAAGAGCAAGGAACTGAGGCTTTTCAGCGAATTTTTTTTAGCATTCATCGTGTAAACGAGATTGACGAAGGGGTGGAGGAGGGCGTGGGGCGGGGCTTCTTATCGACGATAGGACGAAAAGTCGTTGAGAATTAAAACGAGTGAAACGTTATCGAAGAACCGCGAGCAAGTAGTATTTTCAGATAAAAGAAAGGTTTGATAAGAGAGGAGAAGTGGGGAAAGGAAAATAGAAGAGACGAGATAGGATACGAAATCGTTTATATTCATTCTCTCTCTTTCTTTTCTCTCTCTCTCTCTCTCTCTCTCTCTCTTTCTCTCTCTCTCTCTTTAACCGATTCGATAATTAGAGCTTCACAGTCGGCTCGTTTCTACGTCTATTCGTTATTCGCAGAAACAATCGCAAGTAAATAATTGGATCGTTCCCCTATCGGTACATGTCAATTCTAGCTGAACCGCGCGAAATCCCATTAATTCGAAACTGCGGTTTCCGCTTACAATAAGTGTGTAGAAACCCCTGGAAAGCCCTGATACGTGAAACGATTTGCCCTTTTTAAACTCCCTTACAACTTTCCGTTTAAAATAGGAATTGCAATTAACGATTGAATAATAACATATATAATTTGTCATTTCTCGTTTTATATTTCTATCTATTTTAATCTATCTCATACTTGTTTCCTTAATCTATCCAATATTATATAAGTAATATGCATAAGAAGAAAACGAATAACAGAGTATTAAATAAATATGTCTGAGATGATGTTGAAGCTTCTATTATTAGTGGTAACATCATTGCCACAAACTTACAATACGAAATTATAAAGAGGATCCTCGTTTTTGTATCTCGTTTGAAATGATTGTAAGTACAGGGTACAGAGTGTTAATACCACCGCAATACAAACGTACTTACCGTGTCGTACGGCAACACATTTAAAATATATATATATATATGTATATACATATATACTACCATGTTACCTAGCTAGTACCGACCGAGATGACAAAGCATTCTCGCACATATTACGAACTAATCGTCCTCTAACGAGCCGCAAAGATCTCCTTTCTCATTCCCTACACTCTTCTCTACAATTTAGGTGTCAAGAGGTAACACTGACAATGTTTTAACGAGTAAACGATCGTTAATTAACGGATAACGTTCTGTCAACGCGTTAAAACAATTATCATTTATTTCTCTCGGATTATTTATTATCTTCTAACGTAGAAAAGTTTTCACATTGTAAATGAGAACACGTTTCAAATAATCCTAATGTCACGGTGATAAGTTTTCCGTTTGATATAAAAACCATCAGGCGTTGAACACACAAACTACTAACGGTAAAGAAGGATAGAAAATTTGACCGTATAAGATTATCATTTAAACAAACGAATATTAATTATATAATCATATATATATATATATACCTATACACACCTGTGTATCCTCGAATGTAGGTACCCGTAGACCCGTAGTATTTCGGTAATTGGATAATATATCTTTATCGATTGTTAACGGTAGTCAGTGGACACTGCTTGCGAAGCGACGCATAGGGATCCTGGGCTAAATTTATACCCTTAATGAGTTAAATCAGAAGGAGGAGGGGTGATGGTGGGAAAGCGATGTTCCTGTACCGGGGAACCCTATTCCCTTTGATATTATCGATTGGACGGTAACCTACTGGCATACCAGTTCGATCGTCCGGTTCCGACCGATTGTGGCTGATTAGAATGACTGGGCTGACTAGTCGGCAACTGTTACTACTACGTCGTTAAAATCACTATTACTACTACTAGCTGTTACCTAGACGCACGCACACACACACGCCAAACGTTTTCTCAACGTGACATTTGCGAATAAAATCTGACACTTAGTACGATCATCCAAGCGAGATTCACGATCTAACGTATGACGTATACGATCCTATAGAAAATGTCAATGTACTTTTGTAAATGTCAAATATGGTAAAGCTTGGTAGGAAAGGAAAGGAAAGAAAAGCATAAGCAAGGCAAGCCAAGGCAAGGCAAGGCAAAGGTAAGGCAAGGAAAAAGAAAAATGTAACTTTCTCTCGACACGAGATCCTTTCATAGTAGATGGTTCAGCTTCGGCATCGACAAATCGTCGATAAACGCGAATAGTCGTCGTTGGAGAAAAACGAAGCACGTCTTATAGAAATTTTTCGTACCGAGCCCTCGAATGCTCGATTTAGGTTGATCGCACCTGCGGCTCTTGCCCTTCTTATCTTTCTATAGACGCTTTAAGATAAATTTTCATAGAAAGTAACATGAATCTCATCCCACCCCTTTCTCTTTCTCTCTCTCTCTCTTTTACAAACGATCCAAAGCTATAGAAAATAAACTTTCAACCCTTAACGTCGACCCCTTATTTCACGAATATTTTCTCTAACTCTAACCTAAACAAAGATAGGAATTTGGTCAGAAATTTACGATAAGCTTTGGTCGTAAGGATACAAAAGCCCTATCGTATTTTATGTTCCTTCGTGACACACCCGTTACGTGGGGATGGTACTTGATTATCCCCTCTCCCCCTAGATTTTAGATTAAGTTAATACGTATGTTCTCATTTTTTGTTCTCTTTTTCTTTTTTCTAGTAAAACTTATTTCCTGTTATGCTTAAAATAGGCCATAAGGACGTACTAACAAATTTCTCTACAACCATCGATAAACATTTCAGCAAGCGTATAAAGCCACTTTGAATTTCATATCAAGCAACCTTGTTTCTCTGTTTAGTACCCATATCGCACATCGTGGCACTGGTCGGAGATCCCACCTATCTTCCCTGCGACATATCAACTACCCACGAAGGAGATTCGGTACATCTTGTGCTTTGGTATCGCGAGGATCTTGGTGCACCAGTTTACAGGTGAGATGCAATCAATGTATACATATATCTTACAACAATATATACATACAAATACGTACCATTCTCTACTTACTATATTCTCTCTTATACAAATATACAGATATATATATATAGAGGTATATATATATATATATATATACAGTCCCTATCTATCCTTATATCCATCTACGAATGTACAAACAGGCGTTGGTCGTTGTCTCTATTGGTCCGCACTAGGTTACATACATCTTGTCGACACAATGCGAGATTGGTGGTTGCTTTTAACCGAAAATTGCCTTCGAACTCGATTTTCGTCTCACATCGAGAGATCTATATATATGTATACCAATCTATATACATTTATATGTATATATATATATATATATTTCCATCAGCATGTCCCTTTTCATCGAAATAAACTATCTAGATGGTATCTACCATACCGTACAAAAGCATTGAGAAATGAGTTTTCCAACAATTCATAATCGCAACGACTAAAAATGACTAGACTTTGCTCGGTGTAGTAAACTTTGGAAAATAGTTGGAACGTTTACGTTATATCTAAGTTTGAAGAGACAGATACACAGAGGTGAAGAGAGAGAGAGAGAGAGAGAGAGAGTGTTCTTAGATACCACGATCGAATAAGCATGTTAACTATGCGAAATATATAGCCATGGAATGCCGCAGTGTAATCGGTATCGCAAACTTGGCTCACGCTACCAAACAGTAGGTGTAATTGGTCCTAATTGATCCTATCTGAATAATGCCAAGACTGGAAACCTGTTACCATCGAATTACCTTACGAGCGAGCGTTGAATTGTTGCGTGCAAAAATCTTCTCGAAAGTTGTGCTTTCTTACGAGTACTTTTTTATTCGAAATAATAAATATTCAAATTGTAGTGGTGTTTCTTTTTCTTTTCTTTTTTTTTTGGAATTGAATGAGATAGAGAGAAAGAGAGAGAGGAAGAAGATTGAAAAGAATTCTTTTTTACCTTGCTCTATAAAAATATTTTCCTTTCTCTTCTTCTTCTTCTTCTTCTTCTTCTTCTTCTTCGTTTTTTTTTTTTTTCTTTTCTTTTCTTTTTTCTATTCACTTTGAAAGAAAAGTTCATCTCTTCCCTCTTAATTTTTACAACGAGAGACGTTCTTTTTCAACGCTTAAAGTTTTCCTCCACAACCGGTAGTGTGAGGTTTCGTTCGAACGAGCAAATTCTTGGTAATGGATACCGTTTCCATGCCTTATTAATTCTAACTCAAAGGTTATCTCCAGGAAAAACAACTAAAAACCTTTTAAACGTACATATCTCTATGGAAAAAAGGAAACCGCACAATGGATTACGCGATTAAACACGAATTCGTGTTTGCACGTCGTTAATATAATCTGGCGTATACTTTCTCTCACTCTCTGTCTCTCTGTCTCTCTCTCTCTCTCTCTTTCACCTTCTCTTCAACTTTGAATTCTCAACGTTTAAGTAAATTAGCCTTTAAAAGAATCTTAATTGAAATGAAAATTGATTTCTCACTGGTCTTCGTTTAATCATGATACACATCAAACTCGCACACTAGTCTAACTGAGAAATAAGATTTTAGGTTTATGAATACACAGTTAGACAAAATTTTCAAATTAACTTACTGATTTTCCATAAAACGTTAATATACTGATAGATAATTTATCTTTGTCATGTCAAAAGTTAACAAATTGTATTACGTTTTAAGATATTCCAGCATTTTCTTACGCCCATAATGATTTAGCATAAATTTCTACAACCAGTTTATGGACAATTCTAGGAAACGAGTTGTTCTACTGGGACATCTTTGACAACTTTTACAGAAAGCATGAAAATACATGAACACTTTATTCACCGTCATAAAAATCGATAAAGCGTTAGATTAGATGAAACACACGAAAAAATTCATTTCCAGAATAACGAGAATACCGCGCGTCAAGATTTATAGAAAAATATTTATTCGTAGATACGAAAAAAAAAAAAAAAAGAAAAATATTCATTCGTAGATACGAAAAAAAAAAAAGAAAAAAACGCAAAAATTTAAAACGTATTACACGTACGTTTCCGCTGGCAAATAAATTCATCATTGGTTACTTCAAACAAAAATTCAATGTTTTTTTATTTTTTCTTCGAAAAATTCTCGTTTCCATGAATTCCATGAAATTTTCAAAATTTTTGACCGATAGCGTGTGCGTACGTTTTACGTGTATCTCAATCCGTGTAGTACGTTTATTCATTCGAACCAGCTGTTGGTCAGAGGTGGTAAGATTCATCGATATAATAAAACGATTTCTTGTTGGCAGCGTCGACGCCAGAAATCGAAACTTTGGCAGAGTCGAGAAATGGTCGGACGACACGGAATTTTCTGGTCGAGCTTACTTCATGCCAGATCAAAAACCAGCCATGTTGGGTGTGGATCACATAAGGGAAGAAGACGCTGGCATTTATCGATGCCGAGTCGATTTCCAGATCGGCCAAACTCGAAACTACAAAGTCAATTTAACGGTGATAGGTAAGGGAACCATTCATTCATTCATTCATTCATTCGTTCATTACATTTGCGTATCGAATAAAAAATATTTGTCAATTCGATTTAAGGGAAAAGATTTGAGGCTTGGAAAAAGACAAAAGTAGGAGAGTTCAATCGAATGCACTTTCCACCTGCAACCACTTTCCCAAATCTAACTATAGTTATTATTCTATCCATGACGTCGCATTTTGTTTCACCTTTCTATTATTTATTTCCATTTATTTTTCTCACTTTGCATCGATGCACATGCACCGAAGTTGCAGCATTGCTACTATACGAATACCTCGTACCTCGTTTCCAAGTTTTATTCCTAGAAATTTATCCGAATGACACGAAGATACTACCAGCTTTTTTCTTTACCAAATGGATATTATTTGTCTGGTGTGAGATATATCTTATAGTTCGATGCAGAGTACCCCGAAAAAGTTTCACAATTTTTTCGACGTTAAGAAGATCACTTCGTGCACGAGAGAATTATGAAAAGTGTGCTGCGAAAGGTTTTTTTTTTTCGATAAATTTATATACATGGTAAACAATCGTAACGAATGTTTCTTATTTTCTTACAATGTTACAGTATGTTACGTGTTATATATGAACGGTCGTGCACGCATTCTCTCTCTCTCTCTCTCTCTCTCTCTCTTATTCACGAACAGCCACTACATATCCTAACAATACGTCTCTCGTCACTACGTCACTAGACGCAGCAAACAACGAAAGGCCAACGGTCTCGATTTATAGTCAACGTTCTGCAGTTGACATCGGAACGTATGTACGTATGTACATAGACATATATATATATATATATATATATATATATATGTGTATCGTACATAGATCCAATATACAAGAATACCTCTCCGGCCTAGTAATAGAAAATATTTCTACCGTAGCACCCACCCGCACCTATACCTGCTGCTCTACGCATGCTTGGTGTTCGTACTAACATGCTAGCAACACGAAGACACATATATTTTTCTAACCGAAAAAGCTATGAAATATAAACGACCGATAAATAATGTTTTTTTTTTGTTAATCGACGATTTACAATCGAGAGTCCGAATCACGGCATACGATCTAACTAAACCCCACCCCATACCCCTTCCCAACCTTATCCCGAACACCCGATCTAAATAAAATCCAGGTAAATATTCTGCTCGTACTCTATTTTCACAATTGTTTTTCTATACTTCATATTTCTCTTTTTAAGAGCGTTAACGAACGATTCTAAAGAACAAGAGAAAAATCCTCCTACGTAAAAAGAAAAAACAAAAAACAGAAAACATAATAGAAGCCAGTAGTAGTAGTAGTAATAGTAGTAGTAGTAGTACATCCCTTAAACGTTCACGAGTGAAACGTTGGAAACGTTGGAACGTTTCAACGTTTCTCGGATTTCTCTTGCGGTCTTGAAGCGTTGTGCTGGAACGAAATGTATACCCAGGACTCTGAAGCACTATGAAAAGAATGACTGAGAACGTCGTGCAGAAGACGAACCACCCGTTCCGAGCAGGAAGAGGACAAGGGAAAAGAAGAAGAAGAAAAAGAAGAAGAAAGAAAAAAAAGAAAAGAAAAAGAAAATGAAAAAGAAAAAAAAGAACAAACAGACCATGAAGGAAAGGACAAAAAAAAGTAAGAGGAAAATAAGAAGGCAAAGGAAGAAAGAGGTTGTTATAATGGAACGAAGCTGACATGGAACTGAAGGTTTGTGCGGGTGCGGGTGCAGGTGCGGGTGCAGCTCGTAGGGGAAAGCAGGAAAACGGGGTTGTTGAACACAGAGAGAGAGATAGAGAGAAAGAGAGAGAGAGAGAGAGAGGGAGGGAGGGAGGGAGGGGAGAAAAGAAGAATCCAATTAACAATTCCGTTGAAAAGTTATGGAGATGCCCTGGCCGAGCGGTGGCACGCCAGCACCCGATGCTTTTTCTTCTCGGCATGTGCCGTGGAATTTTTCCCGTGGGATAATTAGCCCCTTCTACAAACCGGGTAGTACTACCCCACCCCCCCCTGATGCCACCACCCTTACTCGAATCCCACAGTAAAGAGGGCATGCTCCGGACGGAAAGGCTCGTAAACGCGAGCGTTGGTAAACCTTTTCCAGATGAACGCCAATTAACGTGCCTTTCTCTTCTCTCCTCGACATCCCCTTACACTTCTCTCTCTCTACCGTACTTTGCTAAAATTGCTAGTTGCACATCGGTCTCCCCCTATCTCGTTTTTCCTTTTCTTTTCTGTTTCCTTTTCTTTTTCTTTTTCCCATTTTCTCGCTTCTTCCTTTCATTTTCTTTTCTATCTTCACCCTCTCCCCCACGACAACCCTTGGCGTGTCGCTAGGCGCGTGTTGTTTTCGAAACACGTACCACGCGTAAACGTGAACGGAAGAGAACAGACGGAGAGAGGGAGAGAGAAAGAGAGAATGGGGAAAGAGAACGACCTTTCGTTAAAAGCAAGAAAGAAAACGGCGTTAAAGAGAGCACTCGAGGAATTTAAATCGCGCTTCTCGAAAGCAAGCAAGCAAGCAAGCAACCTCGCCAGCTAGCCAACTGTCTATGTCAAAAAGAAAAGAAGGAATGAGAAGAAGCATCCGTGAGTAAGAACGAATAGACGCTGTCACAGCAGAGAATGTTTTAAAACTAACGGGGAAAAGAGCTTACGAATGAACGAACGGATATTGTGAATCGTGGAAGTATTCCTACTTACTAAATTCTAAAACTCCGAAAGCTATTTTAGTATTATTCAATTTTGAAATTCGTTATCAATTTATGGTGGAATACAATATTGAAATGAGAATGCATTTATATTCATGATATATTGAACAATGTAAAAAGAGAACTACACAAATGTTTTATGTTACTTTTAAATATTTGGGTCTGAGATGTGTATATTAAGAATTGTAAATACTTTAACTGGGTATTTATATAATGGAAATGTTATATTTTCTCTGTTAAAATAATATCAGGTAGGTAGAAAAATAATATCGATTGTTTTAAATTGACAGAAATGTAATTGAGACTCGTGTAACTCTCTCACTGCATATATAATATTATTAGATTTATTTTGTCTAAATAAAGCACGATCTTTTCCAATCTCCTTATTTCTGTTTTTATTTCATTAAACTAATCTCGAAGTTATCAAGAAAATGTAAACCAAAATGCTATTCCGATGGTTCAACTCTACTTGTTATCTCATCGTATATAGTATGGCTTCGCGTAATCCGATAATAGTTTGATAAGCAAGAACCTTTGGCTCCCGGAAACTATCGATACTTTGCTAAAGAGCTAGTCTAACGATTACCAATGTCTGAATGGACCATCTTAACTCGAAACCTTAAAAATCTATATTCACGAAAGATGATACTTGCTAATAATATCGTGTACTTAAATGTTACAAGTAAAATTCACAAGTCTTTAATAATTTGATCGCATTTTTGATATTCAAAATTATTCCAAATTCGTGATACGCATATAATTAAACGTATTTTTACAATATAGAAAAAAAGTCCATATATAAAGTGAACATTTTTCTTGCCAAATCAATCAAAGTACGTTCTTTTAACGTATATCATTCGTATCATTAAAAACAAAGAATATATTTAAATAAACTACTTTAGTTGAGACACCTTTCTATATAATAGTAAATAGACAAAGGTTAATGATGAAACGAATGAAAGAAGAAGAAGAAGAAGAAGAATGGTGATACTTTAGTGAAAAGTAAATTGAAATAAAATAAAAATCTTGGAACAAGCGAAGCAACAAACGAGAAAGAGAAAGGAAAAGACCGGTGAGTCTTTTACGTTTCGAGAAAAGAGTTTTAAAAGAACGAAGAGTCATAAATTGGATCTAAAGAAATTTATCAAGTTCGTTACTAGAAAAGCGACACGATCATAGTAGAATACCGCATACTTCTTACGAGACGTCACGATATACGATAGACATCGATTCTTCGATTTTCAAAGAAGCTTTACAAACTCCCTTTCTTTCTTCGTGAAACTCGAATAACGCGATAGCTGTTCTGGAACCGATAGACCGACCGACAGATAGAGAGACAGACAGACAGATAGTTAAACTACCAAAGAAGAGTCATGGTATAATCATAAATCATGTTAGAATTTGAAAATAACGTTAGTGCCCGGATCCCATACAATCCTACCGATTTTATGGGACTCAACGTGTATTACGAACTTTGAATTGTCTTTCTATTATTTCTATTCTTTCTACTTCATTTTCTTCATTTACTTTTTCTTCTTCTTTCACCGTGTTATCAAATGCGTTTGATCACTCGTAAAAAGTTGCAAAAGAAAATCGGCATTTCCGTGAGAAACTTTCGGCTATTCGTTGACGTTAGAATAAGGGTTAGGATGCTTCGTAAAGAAAGAAAGAAGGGCCAAGGGAGGGCTGAGGAAAGGAAAGAAGAAGAAGAAGAATACGGAAGAAAAAAGGAAAGAAAGAAAGGAAAAAGAATAGAAAGGCGGGATAACCTTTCGCTCGAATTGTTCTTCCCGAAAGGTAATCGATCTGGATTTTCTCTCACTCGTCTTCTCGACCCCGAACTTTTAATAGTATTTTACTTTTAAGTACACTTTCGTCCGGATGATGCATCTGGTGCAGACGCGGCGCGCGAACGACGATCGAGTCGAAATTCCCTCGTAGAAAGTTAATAAGAAAAAGAAGAAAGAACAAAAGAAAAAAACAGAATAAAAAAGAAAGAAAAAAAGACAAGAAAAGAAAGCAACGGATAAAGGGAGATAAAGGAAGAAAGGATAAGGGTGGAAGGGCGAAGGGAAAACGGAAAAGAAAACGACACGTAAAACCATGTTCGACGAAGGGTTTTCAACGAGAACGACCTTGCTCCTTCTTTTACTTTTTTTTCTTTTTCTTTTTTTGTTATCTTTCTTTTATTTTCTTTTTTTTTTTTTTTTTTTTTTTTTTTTTTTTTGTCCTCTTTATTAAACGAAAGCCCTTTTTCTTCGGAACAATCAGAACACGAGTCTA